GTCAGCTGCAGAGTTAACGATTTTTGTGCGATGCCTGATCAAGTGAGTGATAATCAATTGTCATTTGCTGCACTGGTAAAGTTTAAGCAGAACTAATTGAATCGGTTAATTAGTAGATGGTGATGCAACTCATTTACGAACCTTGCTTATTGATGCACGACCCTTGCTTGGTTTTATCAGTTCACGTTTTTTCTGTCTTCTGTGTTGCTTTAGCAGTAAAATCGTAGCGAGCCTCAAATTTCTCAAGCATTTAAATTTCTATTAAAATGCTGTGTTCTAATAAGGGTGGCAATGTTGGACGTATTAGAAGGTGATTCTTCGGCTTTATACGTTGTAAATGAAAGATTTGAGTCCCAGCCGGAATAAAATTTTCTGACCAGTTGCTAATTTCCCGGAGGACAGAAGTTACTCCCCTAGTTACGGTGCCGCCAGGTTAGAATTGGGTAGCAGATAGTTGATCTGTGATTTAGTGGAATAGCGTGGTATTCTGATTGGCTAGTGTCTGAGCTTCGGAGATTTATTACTGTGCTGCCCATGCATCTACTTTACTGATAGCGGACTAATGCGCTCGTACAGTTGAGAAACTTGTAACGAATGTTCTTGCTGAAAGGTGGCCGTTTACTTTGGCTTGTGTTCTTATGAATAACATATTAATAGCCGATGTATCTATTTGTAACTTGGTCTTATAAATTATTATACATATTTTAAGATAAAAAAATTGATGCCAGATATTTTAACGTCGGTGATGACGATCCTTTTGGACGATTACAGAAAACTTAAGAATAACGCGTATTTTTCGACTAACGGCGGAGCAGAGGTAAAGGCTGTGGCACTCTGAAAAAACTTCATATTTATTCGCAATTTCATACTTTAGCTGGCTGATAATCCGAAAGAAATGGCCAAAGCATTGGTTACTTATGCCGGTCAAGTGCCATATCATTTTCCTGGAGCCTTGTTGTCCAGGTTGGTTCAAGCCGAAATATCCATGTTGTAAACAGCGGTGAAATGATGAAAATTCCTTGAACTCTTTCGCTTTCTGTTTCCATGCTAATGTGAAATTTACCATTCAGTATAAAAATTTTGTTAAATATATTTTATCTTCATCACTGCCAGTTTTTCATAAACATTCCACGCAAACCAGCTGAAGCGCATAGTACTTCTGCTGAAAATGACTATGCTTTATTACAAAACGTTTACATACCTTCATTTAAAATTAGCAAATTTCTTTACCAAAAATCGACTCGAAACATAACAACGACCTGTGAGAATAGGAATTAAGGAATATTTGTAATACGCTGGCCAAACAGGAAATTCATTAATTCATTGTTGATTAACTAACGAATGAAGGATTCACTGAAATTGTGTAAGTTCTTGAAATCGACTACTGCGTGTTACAGTATTTATTATTGAGAAATTTTCATTTTATCCAGTAAGATTCGTTTGACCTCTTTATCAACCGAATCTAATCACTTAATCAGGAGTTTAAGCAAATTAAGAGAAAGAGGTATGATTTGAAACTAACTGAAGTTAACTCCGTAGACAGAGACATGTGCAAATCGTTACAACGGGATGTCTAGTGCGTTATGTAAATGGACGAGGAAAATCTATGGTATTTCAGCATATGCATGCGTAGCTTCAAAACGGTGTCTCAGCGCCTAAACGTGCCTAATTCATTCTGAGATGTTAAGGCATCAGTCGTCCTTAATCTGAGTACTCGGTCCTTGTCGCTGATACCCAGAAGACGATGACAACAACAAGAGAACAGAATCATGATTCTTGTATCTCAAACGAAAACAGCAATTCATTTATGGAAGTTTATTGAAAATGTTTGTGTTCATGAATGCGTAGATGAAAGAAAATAAGATAAATCTATATTCATAACCTCATGATACTTAGACGGAGTTACACTGTGATAATGCGCTGTACCTTTTGCTTCTAGCGGCTTAAACGACAACTTGACAACGCCATGGCTTCATGAAAGTAGAACACCTCGAGCTTATGAGTGCAAGACTACAACGTCATGTTGAATCGAACAACAGCGCGTTAGCACAGACAAAAATCTCCTTATAGAAAGGTTTGTATGGCACGGACACTGACTAAGGTATTCTGAGGGGAGTTGGCATTATGGGAATTTTCTGTGCCACCAGAAGAACAAGTTCGGGTCTCTTAACCAGATTTTCCTGTCGATTCATAAGTCTACTTATGAAGGTATTTCCATTCGTGCCTGAACTCGTCTTTATTCGACCCAATATGGTTGTAAGTTCTTGCATGCATGTAGTGCAGCCATCCGGACTCCTGTGGATATTACCT